AATATACTTAAAATTAAAAAAAAACGCAAATGATTTAATGATAGAATTTAAACACTGTTTATTTGTATCGAAACGAAAACAATAAAATAAGTGCCCTTAGTACGAGTGGGAGCTCACGAAAACTATCATAGTTTTCGTTATTGTTAGGGCTGCCATCTGTCCGGGTTTCCCCGGATTTGTCCTAGTTTACGGGGCGTCCGGGGAGCGTCCGGGCGGGGTTTTATTTGTAGTCCGGGTTTAAAAATTTACGGCAACGCATGAGTGGCCCTTGGTGCTGCAAGTGTCCATGGGCAGCAGTGACCACTTATTATGAGGTAGACTCTTATGCCTAGATCAACATAAAAAAGTTGATTTGTGACATTTTTGTTGTTTTTTTATTGGTCTGTCTGGGTTCTGTGCTTCAAAATCCGGGGTTATCACGCGTCTTATCCTGGTTGTCACATTTTAGAGATGGCAGCCCTAGTTATTGTAAAACTCGTACTAAGAGTACAGATGATACCAAATTATGTACAAGAAAAGTTAAGTGATGTTAAGTTAAAGACTGGATAACGTTTCACGTATGATTGGTAAATTCAAGATACATTAACATAGTAAATACCGATGGTAAGTTACATAATGGCGATCAAAAGTTTCTCAATCGAATATTGTACACATTTGTGTTACGCAGATATCAACAAGATACAAGTTTTGGACTTGGTAAGTATCAAGTCTAGTATTTATTCTATTAGAATGCAGAAAAACTTGTTAAAGCTGATGATGTAGATGTTTTTAAAACTAACGTGCTTTTGTAAGAGTAACTTAATTAATTACATACATCCATGCATATATCACACTAATATTATAAAGGCGAAAATTTGTGAGTGTGTGAGTATGTGAGTGTGTATGTTTGTTACTTCTTCACGTCTAAACGGCTGGAGCGATTTTAATAAAATTTGGAGTTGGAGGATGGAGTTAGCTGACACCCTAGATTAACACATAGGCTACTTTTATCCCGAAAAATGTTAGGTTCCAGAGGGATTTTCAAGAAACTAAGTTAACGCAGACGAAGTCGCGGGCGACCTCTAGTGTATTATAAATGCAAAAGTGTGCCTGTCTGTCTGTTACGTCTCCACGCTAAAGCCGCTGAACCGATTCAGATGAACTTTGATAAAGAGATAGTTTGAGTCCCGGTGAAGGATATAGGAGTTCTTATCCTAGAAACCATCCTTTAAGGGGGTGAAAAGAGTGTGGAAGTTTGTATCGGAAACTAATATGTTGACGCAGACGGAGTCGCGAGCTCCCACTAGTACTTCACGCCGTGTCAGTGTCCCCAGACTTTAAATATAGCCACAAAATCTATACATATAATAAAATGGTAGGAAAATCAAAACTGTACATTGAATATTTTTTAAAAGAATACTTGGGGTGTGGTCTACAATCGATACCAAAGCCAAAAATATAGTTTTTAGAATTTTTGTCTGTTTATATGTATGTACGTCCGGGATAAACTCAAAAAGTACTGCATGGATTTACTTCAAATTTGCCACGTATATTATTAAGAAGTTGGGTCAACATATAGGCTACATATTATCACGCTATCACCTACGGGCAGTGTTGCCAGGTCCGATTTTTAAAGATCGGGAGGCGTTATAGAAAAAAACAGTAGATGTATGGAAACAGCTACAAGAAAAACAGTAGATGCCCCCCCCCCCCCCCCAAGAAAAAATCAAGATAAAGACTAGTAACGAATGTGTTTCTGTGGCTTCTGCCGCACCTCAAAGCTATTTTTTCTTTAGACAATTACATTTATTTTATAATTATTAAGGTTATCTACATTATTAATGACGAAAAATGCAACTCAACATGCAATTTAAAAAAGAAAATCGTATTCTAAAAAAACAGGAGATTCATGTAGAAAAACAGTAGAACAGGAGAAATTTCAGAAAAACAGGAGATCTCCTGTAAAATCTGGAGACCTGGCAACACTGCTACGGGGAACGAGCAGTGAACCTTTATTTCTAACTAACTCCACGCGTAAGAAGTCTCGGGCGGCCGCTAGTAATAAATAAATAAATAATTTGAAGGTTTAGCAATAAAATTGAGAATATTTTAACGTAGGACGATTCATTTTGAAGACAGGGAGGTCTTTAAATCATCAATGCTCTCGTTAATTGATTCATTAATTGGTTAGTTATTCCGTACTAATGAATGAATGAACTTATCATTGATAATTCATTAAGATCCGTCTTGGACGTCACCAATTAGCCTAGCCCCAAAGTGAGCACTGTAAGGCTTGTGTTATTGGATACTAGGGTAACGGATAGAATACATATATAAGTATATTTATTTAGAAATACATATTAAACATCCATGACTGGAGTACAAATGCTCGTGTTCATCACACAAACATCTGCCCCCACCTTTCGAGTAGGAGACACCATAAAACCTGTATGTACCCTTATTACGAGTTTGCGCTCACGAAAATTTATCATAGTTTTCGTAATAGGGATGATGACTAATTTTTTCGTTTTCTTTCGTTTATCAGGTAGATTATCGAAAAGTATTGGACACGTATTTTTTCTTTTTTCACATAACATAAACATTGCAGAGATATATTGATTTGAAAAGTCGCATGACGTCACGTACACTTGAGTACACTTTTAAGAGAATATTCACTAAAAAGTGACGTCACGAGCCCCTACTCCCAAACTTTGACGCGCTATAACTTTGTAATTTTTTGGTTGATTGCCCAAAGAAAAATACGTGTCCATTATTTTTTGATCATCTAACTGACGGACTAAATAGAATTTCGTTTACTGTACCCCGTCATCACCCCTATTGTTTCTATGTCCATTTTGGTGCAAAGTTACCAAACATACTTAAAATTTTAGAAGATGCAAATGATTTAATGATAGAATTAAAACACTGTTTATTTCTATTGAAACAGAAATAATAAAATCAACGTAATTGTAAAACTCGTAGTAAGGGATTGGCGTACGAACCACTCTGCCACGGTGGTCGTCAAATTGATTGTTGAGAAAGTTTTCATTGATTTCATAAAAGGCAGTCAATTATTGGTTTATAATAATAATAATATCATTTATTGGCAGACAACATAGACCCATATGTTAGTATACAATATAACTTACAACTAAGTGTTAGTAGCCTATAATAAGTATTTACATATTCAAAATATTTATGCCTTTTCAATAGGTCATGTACCTTAGAGGCACTCCGCGCGAGCGAGCCAAGAAGAATAATTAGCTCCTATTTCAGTCATCATACGCACGGAATGCCTCCAAAATGGTGCATGCGGATCTCCTGCCACGGTTATAGGTAAAGATTTTACTAGGTACTATGTTTTGATCTTATTATTCATAAACATTTAATGACGATTCAAAAAACGCACCACCAGGCAGATCAATATAATAAGCATTTTTTTCGATATAAATTAGGTATATAATATTTATTGCCTATAAAAAATTGATAAATAATTAACTTCGTCGGCGAGATTTAAATAATTTCCTATTTTCCCTTTTTCACCCCCTTAAAGGATGAATTCTGGGATAAAAAATCCTAAGTCTTTTCCCGGGACTCAAACTATATTTATTCCAAATTTCAGTTTAATCTAGTCTGATTTAAGCGCCAAGAGGTAACAGACACACACTTTCACATTTACAATATTAGTATAAAGTACCTATATGAAGTATGGATTTTCACATACAATGTATGATAGTGATAGTGCATAATTTTATAATAGACTTGCCGGATAGAAGTGGCCCCATATAAAAGATTTTAGAAATAATCCTCGTTTTTATAATTTCCTGTAGGTAACATTATAATATTTGAAACCGGCCTGAATCAATTAAAATTATTTGTAATTCTAATAAATAAGTACCTAACTTACAATAAAATAAAACGCATAATAGGCAAGTAATTTTGTTTAGGTTACAATGTGAATAATGTCAGTACCTACCTACAATAGCTTTTTTGATACCTAATTATTTCATTAAAATACTTTAAATGACACACTGCGTTATCAACATCGCATTTTTCTTTTTATCGTGGACACAAACTCGGATTATTGTGTTAATCCCACGCCAAACGAGTTATGTTCGTCGTTAGGTATAACTTATATTATTATTGCAAAAATTATAGTCATAATTATTTACCAATATGGTCATAATTGGTACATCTTCTATCTATACTTATAATAAATCTGTAGAGAGGTCAATTCTGTACATGAAATATATTTTCAAAATAACTATCAGGGGATGATTAGTGATCGATACTGATTCCAAAAATGCAATCAGTAAAATTTGTGTCTGTCTGTCTGTCTGTGTGTATGTTCCTTATAGAAACAAAAACTACTCGACAGATTTTAACGAAACTTGGTACAATTATTCTTCATACTCCTGGGCAGGTTATAGTATACTTTTCATCACGCTACAATCAATAGGAGCAGAGTAGTGAAGGGAAATATTGGAAAAACGGGAGAAGTTACTCCATTTTTTAAGCTTCCGTCGCGTGTGCAGCTTTAATGGTTAAAGTTACATAGAAATCATGTATGACGGAAATATTCTACATAAAATTGTCTAAAAATATCCCGCAACAGCATACCTATGTCTATCTTTTATGGTTGACTTACAATAACACATGTAATTATATAAATAAAGTTATTGTTTATAACACAAGTATGAGAACAAAAACTATAGTTTACACTACAGCTCTACACCGAAGCGAAGCGAGGGCGGGCCACTAGTACGAAATAATTTACTGGAGGTGCTTGTAAACATTTTTGTTGCCGACAGTACTGTCACGACCATGCCTTTGCAAACGCTATGATAATTAATTACTTTGATCCAACGGGCTTCCTAAAAGCCAGCAATACACATTTACCTAAAGTAGGTAGGTACGTGTAATTAATTTATTTTTTAATTGATTTATTATACGAATGCGGCTTGTTTGTCACCACAACCCGCATAAGTTGTCAGTACACAGCTATCGTAAAATTAACTTACCGTTTTCCAAATACAGGACGAAGACACACACTTTAACAAACTGGCCACTATATCTCACCGTCTTCTAAAACAACACATAATTGAAACCATGTTATCATTAAAATATCGATCAGTCACACGCGGCAGAACGGTTCTCTGTGACGCGTATATTTTTACATTCGACTCGAGATATTTTCGATATAGTCGTCTGGTCTGGTTTACGTCAATCACTATTGGTAATGAGATTCGTTATTGCGGGTGTATTGTTTAAATTAGTCACTATGTAAAGTTGTATTTGTCACTGATCAGCTGAGCGATTGTTTGAAACAATAATATCGGCGTACGTGTACACTAATTCATCACACACGCGTTCTCCTTGGCGAGCGGGGAGCGACTGAGTGAGCGAGCGAGCTAACTGAATGGTCGGAGACGACGCGACGCAGGGGCGGGGGGCGCCCGGTGCAACGCACGCTACTAGAATTGCTGCCAATAGATGGCAGCACGCGCCTTTTTCCTTGCGTGCAGAGCTTTTACGAAAGGGGCGTTAATAATTACGGGCGGCGAATTTCTCGCCCGCCTTCTTATAAATTAGGAAAACGTTTTCAAATTATTCCCGTCAAACGTTTACTCTACGATTCGGAGCTTTCCCTCCGACGTCCGGATTCAATTTAACAGAATCCACTTTGGCGTTTTTTTCTTTCTAAATTTCCATCTCTCTATTTGTCGATAAACGTGACGTGAAATTAATGTGTACATTGCGTTTGCTGGGAGTTTAGAAAACGGAAATTATTCGTCACGAGTGGTAGGGTAATGTGAAAATTCTATTAAATCTTGGCTAAGCTTGTAATTGTGAAAAGGAATCTATAGGAATCGATTAAAGTTGGAGGAGTCTATCGAGGCGCGATCGTTTAGGGTCGTCGTTGTCGTCGATGGCGGGAATAAAGGAAATCTTTCGCATTGGACGACTGTGAGAGCCTTTGATGATACTCATCAGGGCAAGACGTTCACAATTATGTACTTTCCTAATGGAACTCTTTTGCTTACCTTGTATTTATTAAATTAAAGTAACCCGGCGCTTTGAAAGGCGCTCGGAAATTGAAAGTCTCGAAAGCCTTAATATTTTATGAACACAATGAAGGAAAGAGCTTTTTCTAACGAACGAGTAAAATATATTAAAATAATTAGGTAGTTATTTTTATTTTGTAGATGGGAGACAACAAACTTTTTCCGTTGATAAGTACCATTCGTGTGTATTTGACAATAAAGCTATTACATCATAAGTAATTATAGGTGCCACCGGTGGCGCTGAGGACAGTAAACAAGACATAGTATGACGGACGATTCGAGACCATAAACAATGGACCCGATAAAGATAGATAAAACTTGATTTATGGTCTATGCTCAGCGCTCAGCGCCTTTAAATCAATTATGGAGACCGGGCTGAGATAGTTCGGATGCGAGTTAGTGTAAAAAATACCAAAAAAAAACGCAGTAGAATGACTGCTCTGCTGACTTATGTTTGTTTAAGTATTTTTTTCTGTGTAACAAATGATTTAAGTTATATAAATACTTAAGCTAGGTTTGGAAAAGGGTAGTCCTGGGTTTTTGTTATTCTTCGTTCGAGTCTCGTAACTTCTTTTAGTTTTTGTCCGATTTACTTGGATATTGAAATTAAGATTAAACTTCAGATATTAGATTAAAATAAAATTGTTAATTAAATGAAGTCAATAGGCTACCTATTGAACAGAAATAGTGTAAAAACATGAGTTTCTGTACGCCTAGGGTTGCCACCCGTACTTTATTATAAAGTATTGTACGTTTTTTCGGGTAATTGTACTCTATACTTTATGCCAACAATAAAGAACGTGAAATACTTTATTTGATGTGATTTGATTACCTGGGGATAATTTTTTCATAAATTTACAAAAAGAGGTTGATAGAAAGAATTTTTGTGTAAAACGGAACAACAGTATGTATAATATGTCGCCCTTAGCTTATTCCCGCAACATTGTCGCGGCTGTATGGCTTTGAACAATGGTCTTTCCCATTGCGGATAAGAACTACAGATTTTTGGAAGTCCCAAATTATGTATTAAAAGTTGCTAGTAGCAACGCAAAATATATTTTTAAGCTGTGATGTTATATTCCCCTCCACAGCTCTTTACTAGCTTACTCAGAGCACCGGGGGAACAATAAAAGAAAACCAAAAAATTAAGATAATGTTATAAGTATATTTTATCCACTTTAGATACCAAAGCATAGGAATTCAGTAGTTTTAAGTTATTGCTTATATAAATCAACAAGTCCAACTATGTTTATTATTTATATAATAACTATGTTTCACTAATTATAAATATCTAAGCTGAATACAGTAGTTCAAAGTTAATGTGTATATAAACCAACAAGTTGTCATGAAAGGTTATAATTATAAGAATATCAGACATTCATAACACTTTACCATGTACTTACAATATAATACTTACTAATATTTTTTTTATCCACAAATACCACATAGACTATACTGAATAAGCTATTTAGTGGATTTCAGAGGTTCTACGGCTCGTTTGATCGATATTGGTGACAAACTTAGTTAATTCTAGTTCTCAGTGAGATAACCAGCTATATAGATATATGTAAATATATGGAAATGGGTAAGTCGGGGTCCAACCTCGCCTGTTGTTTCCTTTTCACGTTCACCCGGGGTTAGTAGAGAAATACCTTGGTTATGATAGGTTAAGCTGTGTATAATCTGTCTGCTGTTCGGCCGGGTTACATAAAACCGGAGAGCGGCTGGCAAATAAACTCCCGCGCCCCTTCTGGTCCGTGCACAGAACAAAAGTCTCCTTGTTAGTCCTCCAGTATTTCTTGAGGGGAACGTACAAGCCTGAAGTTCACATTGAAAAAAAATGATCAGATATGGGGAAAATACATAGATTACCACATCTGTGGTGGGTGAGGGAGTGAGGGATATTCACGGTCAATGTTTACACTTTAAAATTTGAATCAATACAGGACTGGGGGCCCGTCCCACCCGGTTTGAAGAAAATCAATTCCACGTTCACTAACTTGACAAGAATGATTAGGTATATTTGATGACAAGAATCACTATATTGTGCATAATGCAGTTCAATTAGTGCTAGGAGAATAAATATGAGATCAGATGATAGCTTACCGTTCGAAATATGAAACTATCCGTAAGTATTTTGTTTCCTATCACAAGTTACCGCCTTATTATTGCAATCGCCTTGCGCAAGGTTCGTGTTCGTCCACCTACGATACAGAATATCAACAGAAAGGTTATTTTCACAGCCCAAACTTGCAAATTATGTAGGAAAAAAGAGCCACTCCAATATACCTACGAAACTCAGTTCGGTTAGCGACTCCGCGCTTTTTCCGCCAATATCCTTCGGGATATAAACTTTTCGGATCTATCTCACGACTTCGACGACAATAATATGCCGTTTATTATACTTTGGGCAGAAGAAAAGATGAAAAGTTAACTGTACCACAAACAGATTGTGAAATTTTAAAAGTTGTTTTGACAATTGCTCATAGATGATAGACGAATCGTCTACTCCCCAACATGTGTCTATGATTTGTTTCCCACTTCAACTGAAGGCAAAGGCCACAGTCAAACAGACAGCCGCCGCATTCGAGACGAACCGAAGAATAAACTCAAAACTATATACCTACGCTCGCCGTAAGCTGAGGAAAAGGGAATACCTACCCAAATCAGCGAGGAAATTCAATTTCGAGTAAAATTCAAAATCGATTAAAAACAGCACCCGATAATGAGGACTCAAATCGATCTGGGAAAGACTATTCAAAATTCAACAACTGTCAAACTCCATCCATTCATCCACGCGCCCCCACAGAGATTCCCGCCTGATTACTTTTTTTTTTTTTTTTTTTTATAAGTCTCAAGGCGAATATTTTAGTCGAATAGGAAAATCGACTCTTCCCTCAAGGCTACCAACCCAATCAATGAAGTTTGACAGCTACGCTGACGTAAGCGGTTCGCTATCATAGACAAAACAGCTGTCCTACGTGTGTCAGTGTCACGCTCTGTTTAAAAACAAACACTACAAAGCTCACGAATAAAGTGGAATAAAAAGTACTTTATTCTGGACACAATGTACTTTTTTTCTACCTTTAATATCCACACGGACCACAACCACAAAACGCCGCCACCGGCATATTTCTTTTAGTTTTTATACATTTTATATGGACTCGCCACACACGGTACGCCGGTGGCCGCCACACGCTACAAATCGTCGTTGCTCGCTTCTTGTGGCCCGCACCGGCCACTTAATGCGCCGATACAAAACGCCACCACATGTCACTCGCGTGATTCCCCACCCCTCTCTCCCTTACCTTAGTCTGTGGCTGTGGCGTGTGGCCCGTGTGCGGCGACACTTATTTGGACATAAAAAAGGTGGTAACCATAGAGAAAACTTTTTTCATAGAAGATTCATGATTTATTTGGAATATTTTTCTGACTACCTTACATGAGTCTTCTCCAGTAAAATTTGCTATAAACAAGGATGTAACCACAATCTACCTACTATTACCCAATAAAAATAATACAATGCTATATTCCTTATTCCTCATCCTCACGAATATGGTAAATAATAATTACGATTGCCCATTAAACAAATACTATTTATTCATTATAGCATTACTAACCATTATGATAATAAGCCAGTCAATAGCTTACACAAACACCAACGATACGGTATCAATATTGTTAATAATATTAATAAACAGAGCACGCATTAATGAACCTATTAAACTGGCGACCATCAAATCGGTAATCGCTATTTTAGTATGCGTTAATTAATGAGAATGTTTTTATTAGAACGAAATCAATATTTATAACTGTGACTTTATAACGTTAAGAGAATATAAAAATAGTTTATAACATAATTTAAATTAAATGTTAGATACTATTACACAGAGAATCAGAATTTAGAATTTTTGGAGTGATGCAAGGGATGCAATAAATAAATAAATATTTCCAACACTCACCAATTAGCCTAGCCCCAAAGTAAGCACTCTAAGGCTTGTGTTATGGGATGCTAGGGTAACGGATAGAATACATATACAGTACATACATAAGTATATTTATATAGAAATACATATTAAACATCCATGGCTGGATTACAAATGCTCGTATTTATCACACAAACATCTGCCCCCACCGGTATTCGAATCCGGAACATCTCGAGTCGGCGATACCATGAAACCTGGCGTACAAACCGCTCGGCCACACACTCGGCATAAAAGATCTATTGTGTATTACCACCAAGTTAAAGTTTGTCTTATAGTCCGACAGCTTCCAAGAAGTTCAGAACGCTTCTGTCTTTAAGAGATTTGATTCCCTCTGTGCGTATTATA